TGCTTATAAGAAAATCAATGTTAACATAGATCGGGAGAAATCAACACGTTTTGTTACTTTAATTTTTAAAAAAGATAATAAAAAGAATTAAATATTTTAGATATAAGACGAAACACGTGTATTTGCATATTTAACTCAAATTTAATTATATCTTATTTGAATATAATCAAATTGTGACATTAAAATTAAAGAGTTTAAATTAAAATATATTTGTATGAAATTTAGACTTGAAATATATCCCAAAACTCAAAGATGTTTTGTAACACACCTCCCTAGGTCCTCTTAGTCCTAAAAGAGTTCGGAAACAAAATTTATAGTAAAGAATTACAGCAGAAGTAAAAACACTTATGATATAAAATATTTCTTCAAAAGAAAGCTTACATTCAGAAAATCAATTTAATAAAAAGAATATCATATATATTGGAAAATGCCAAAATATTCAAAGTTATAAGATAAACTGAGTTAAGCTCATTTATAATTAATTTAAAAATTTTATACATAAAGGTAATTTACACAAAAATTATACGAGGTAAACTCTTCTTCAAAGCTTTTCAAAAAAACAAAAGCTAAGTCATGGTTTTGGTAATACATCGATCTGCCTCCCTATCGAAAATACGAGACCCTAGCTGGTACATACAACAAGCATGCAAGTCCCGTGGCAAAAGCTCCTAAACCAAGAGGTTGCTACCTCGATCTACTGATCTGAAATGGGGGGGATTTTATGAGCTCACAGCCCAGTAAGTAATAAGATTAAGCTATAAACTTGGGTCCTAAGACCCTTAGACCTATCCACACAAAAAGCATAAGACACAACGGAATCAAATCACATAATATTATAATTCTCACTATTTAAATAATGATTTAATATCTCAAATCATGAGCACAAATGTCAAGTAATAATCAATGACATTTAAATTAAATTCATATACTAAAATCATATGCTCACAAATACGATGTCACAAGCGCAATGCATAAAATCAAAAATCACACAATGCTATGGAGTCCACTGAGGTGTGCTAGCAACACTGTACCGAAGCTAATCACAGTACTAATCCTACTGCGCAGAGGTCCACTGAATACCCCGAAGGGTCCACTAAATACCCCAAGCTTTAAGTTTAGGTCCACTTACTCCATAGCCACAAACACATATACATGTCAAACAAATTCATAATATGTCCAAAATAATATTAGGATTTCCCATTAAAAGAGATCAAAGCATAATGCGTGAACAGTAATTATGAACAGTAATTTTAAACAGTAATCATGAATAGTAATCATGAACAGGATTTCGTAATTTCCTTCTAATTCGTGCAGCAAAATCACACCCAAATCAACAATAAAAAGGACTAATTAACTCACTATCTTTGCCATATAAATCCCAATGTTAAGGATATTTTTAATAAAAGTTTAAAACTCAAAAATCTTGTAAATCAAAGGATTAAAATCAAATCTCACTAATTTAAACTACCCAAAACTCTAATCCAAAATTTATAACTAAAACTTATACTTATCTAACAAAAGCACCTTAACCTTGGTGGAGAAAGGAGAAAGAAAATGACGTGGGTGGAAGAGGAAGGCATGAGAAAGCAAAATGAGGCTTTTGGGAGGCTTCTGGAGGCTTATCCAAGCTTCCACCGACAAGACAAAAAAACTTGGTTGGGAAAATGCCATGTGGTAAGTAAAATTGGGATAATTGAGTTATGGTCATTCAACTTCTACTTAATTTTACTTAAAGCCCCCAAACTTTAAATCCAATCAATTTAGTCCCCAAAACTATAAACTAAAGGACACTAATTCTTAAATCATTCACTAAGGTATGTGGAGTGTTACATGTTTAAATTATTTTCATAAACAGTTTTACCATATATAAGTTTAATTTCTAAATGTTTATAAGTATTATATCATTTTAACAAGATACTAATTAACACTTACTAACTATGAAAGTAATTGAT